TTCCTTAATTCTCCTTGTGACTCTCATTGAGATGCAGTTATCACGATTCCCTGATACATCAAAAGAGAACCAATAAAAGGTTTATTATACACAAATAAAGGGAATACAGAGGTGTGTAGCTATTCAGATGTTGACTGGGCTGGTTCTCTTTCAGAAAGACGCTCCAATTTGGGGTGTTGTGTTCTCCTTGGAGGAAATTTGGTCTCTTGGAAAAGTAAGAAGCAAACTGTGGTAGCCAAGTCAAGTGCAGAGTCAGAATATCAGGCAATGGAAAATGCAACATGCAACATGTGATCTCATCTAATTAAGATAATTGATTAAGGAACTACGTCTCTGTGAACAATGGCCCATGAATCTCATTTGTGACAATCAAGCCGCATTGTACCTATCCTCTAAACCAGTCTTTCATGAGAGGACCAAACATATAAAAATTGACTGTCACTTCGTTCGAGAAAAGATTCAGTCAAGAGAGATCGACAGAACATTTGTCAGTTTCAGTGATCAACTTACAGATAATTTCACCAACGCTCTTAGAGGTCCCCGAATATATTACATATGTAAGAAGCTGAGAGCTTATGATATATACGCGATAGCTTGAGTGGAATGTTAGAAAATAGTGTATTATTATTTAGATTAGTATTTTATTATTTAGATTACTTTAGAAGTTTTTTTAGGCTTAGCTCATTAAGTCATTTAGTCTCTTTAAATGGAGAGCTCTGGTACAGTTATTTACACAATTCAATACAATACAATATATTCATATTTCCATATTCTCAAGTAAAGAAAATAGAGTGAAAAAGATGATCAAAATAATAATATGTTTTAAAAAAGGGGAATGAGCACTCAAGCTAGAATAAATAACATCTTTAAGAAGAATTTGAGAGAGGAAGCATGTGAAGACATTGCCTCTTTCTTCTACAATAATGTTATTCCATTCATTGAGGCAACAATGGATGAATTCTATAAAATATTTGAATCAGTTTCAAAACATGGTCCAGGATTCAAGCCACCATCCTACCATAAGATCAGAATTAAATATTTGAAGAAAAAAATATGATTCAACAATGCAAAATATTGAAGAACATAAAGCTTATTGGAAGAAATTTGGATGCTCAACGATGACAGATGGGTGGACCGACAAAAGGAGGAGGACTATCATAAATTTCTTAATGAATAATCCTAAGGGAACACTTTTCCTTATGTCTATTGATACATTTGACATACCCAAAATTGCTGATAAAATTTTTAAGATGATTGATGTTGTTATTGTAAAGGTTGTGAAGAAAATGTTATTCAAGTGGTGACGGACAATATAGCAAATTACAAAGCTGCAGGAGATATGTTAATGAAGAAAAGAAAGAGATTGTATTGAACTCCTTTTGCAGCTCATTGCATTGATTTAATGTTGGAGGATTTAGAGAAAAGGATATCGGTTCACCATCATACTATTCCAAGGGAAAAAAATCACAACCTATATTTATTCAAGAACTTCTTTGATTACTTTATTGCACCATTTCATTGAAGGAATGGTGTGACTAGTTATAACTCGTTTTGCCATATCTTACCTAGCTTTGAGGTTCCTCCATGAGTTAAAGGTGCATTGATTCACATGTTCACCTCCAAAGAATGTAAGTCTAGCCGGTTTGCAAAAACTAAGAATGGGAAGCTTATAGAAGATGTGGTTTTGAACACGGAGTTTTGAAAAAATATTGTTACTTGCTTGAAGGGTGCTTATCCTTTGGTCAAAATACTCTGTAAGGTTGATTCATATGAGAAGCCAGCCATAAGCTTCATTTATGAGGAGATTGATCGGGCTAAAGAGAGAATTACTTATGCCCTCAACGACATCCAAAAAGGGTAAATTATCAAGTTTGATTTAAATTTTAAATTTGTAGTTTTGTTTTCTAAACTAATTAAATTTTTTATATTCTTTAGTTATTTTGCCTATGTGGAAAGTCATTGATGGCAGATAGGATAGGCAATTGTATAGTCCTTTGCATGTTGTGGGCTAATACCTTATTCCGTAATTACATTATAATTCTTCATTTAGAGCTAATTTTGAAGTGAAATGTGAATTATATGAATGCTTAGAAAGGATGGTGGTGGACATAGAAGAAATATCTAAGATTGATACTTAACTTGAAGATTTCAAGTATCAAAGGAAGTTTTTTGGTAATCCAATAGCCAAGATTACAATTAAGGGAAAAAAAACTATCAGAATGGTAGGAGTCATATAGGGATGACTATACGTAGCTCCAAAAATTTGTTGTTTGTATTTTGAGCTTAACATGCAGCTCCTCCAGTTGTGAGCGTAACTGGGGTGCCTTTGAGATGGTAAATTTTCATGAATATGAAAGATGAATTGTATTTCATTTCAAGAGTGAATTTTGTATTAAGTTTTCTTATATTTTCTTAGGTCCATACAAAGAGAAAAAATCATTTGAAACAAAAGATTATGAATAATGTTGTTTTTGTGATGTCTAATTCAAGATTGGCTAAGAAGAAGGTGGCTAGAAAAATGAATGAGTATAATGTTGATGATATTTCTTCTGATGATGATTGGATCATGAAAAATGATGAAAATATATCTAAAATTGAAGGCTTAGATGTAGACAACTTGGTGGTGCCAACTCAAAATGAAGTCTTGGTTGAACCTACAAATGATTTGGAGTTACCAAATTTTGATAAAGAAGCCTATGAAGATGGAGAGGAAGATGACATGCCTCTGCTAGATGATGATTGTGATTTGAATAATTTGATAGATTAAATTTGAACTATTTATTTTTGGTTTTGGTGATTTGGTAAATTGTATTTGTGACTCAAGTGAATGCAGTGGCAGACCCAGGATATTTTCTTTATGTCTGCACAATTTTTTTATTTTTTATTTTAAAGATCATAATCATGATTCAATTTTTGCTTCCACTTCCAAAGTAAAGCTTTGGTGAATCAACCAAAGTTTTAAGGAAATAATAGATAATGATAATTTAAAAAAAAAATAAACACCAAAAAAAGACATTTGTAAAATATAGTATAATTATAAGAGTTAATCGATCAAAAACCAACCTTTGTCGATGTCTATTTGATCCAAAGTTGGCCACTTTTGTTTTACAAAAAAACGTGAAAAATCCCGTGAGATTCTCCTCCACTTGATGAAGATTGAATTTCAAGAATGTTGATGTTTATTAAGATTTGGAGCTAATAAGATTTATAAAAAAGAAGAAGAAGAGAGAGACAAAGCAATGGGCTTGGGTTTAAACTTTAAGCTTTTATATATATGAGGTAGGATCTTTTGACACCAATGTCAAATTTGAAATTTGACACCTCATCTAAGAGCTATTAAATCAAAAAAGATCAACGACTCTGATTTGTAAGCATGTGACACCATTGATATTTTTTGATCTAATGACTCTCACATGAGGTGTCAAGTTTCAAATTTGACACTGGTGTCAAATGATCCTACCTCTATATATATATATATATATTATAACATTATATTAAATTTTTTTTTAAGAGAGGACCCATCGGAGAGGTGATCCTTTAGAAACCCACAATGAGGAAAAAAGGCAAATATTTTAAGGTTTGAAATTGCATTTTTTTACGACTCTATCAACAAAACTATTTAAATAGAAATTTATTTAAATATTTTATCATTAAAACTTGTAATTAAAGATAAAAAAAGCATTACAAACATTTATTAGAATATTATTTTTAAGAAAATTTTATGATGCATATTTTTATAATGAATATATACATATATTGTTTTTCAATTTATTTAAAATAAGTACGCTTTGAAATAAAAAAGCTAAAAAACATGAGAACCAACAAAGATATAAATAAAAAAATTAATTGTTAAAATTAAAATAAAAAGATTATATAATTAAAATAAAAAATTAATTTTTTTTATAAAAAAATTATCTATTAATAATAGGTGAAGAAGTTATATATTTTAAATAGATTTTCTCCGGAAAATAAAGTTATATCCTGAAACTAAAATGATATAATTTAATGGTTGTTGGAGATAAATTTGTCGATAAATTTATCAATTGTCCAGGAACAATAAACCCTTTAGATAAATACAAATACTTTCGATTGACTATATAAAAAGGGAAAGGATATTTGTTTATAAATTTTTTTTATGAATTTTTGTAAATTACACTGTATATTTCTAAAAATACATAGTATAATCTAGTATACTTTCAAAAATACATAATGTAATTTATAAACAAAAAATTTATAAATATAAATCTCCCATATAAAAATACACTTTGATGATCTACATGATATTAACGTGGGATGCATCGCTAACTTTCACAAGCATAATGACCAAGTAAGCCATGCTTCAATCATTACAAAATGTTTAGGATTTAGGAATGTGTTTCTCCAAGAGAAAAACTTAATCATCTCCCGAAACTAAAACGTGGTTGTTATTGATAAATTTATCTATTATCGAGAAACAATTAAACCTTTCACATAAATATAAATACTTGCAATAGACTATAAAAATACACTTGGCTGAAATACATGGGGTTAATGCGAGACACATCACCAACTTTCACGAGCATAATGATCAAACAATCCCCGTGAACCTGAAGAGGGGATGGATCATAATATTTTCAGTAATCTCGTACTAATAATTACGGGACGTTGACCGTAGTGTCCTTTTTTTAGTATAATATACAACAGAGTTAAAAAAAATTTCAAACACCATAGTCGCTGAAGTAATTGTAATCATATATAATTGATGATGTGGCACTAACTAATTGTATTAGTTAGTTGCATTAAATGTGTTTTGTTAAGTTTGTTATTCGGTTAATGAGTTGTATAAATACTCATCCAAGTGTTAAACTGGTTCACAAGTTTATTCAATGAATACATGCTTTCTTTTCTGTTTTCCTCTTTCTGAGATGCGCTTCATCTTCTTCTGCATTATCTTCATGGTATCATGGCTTTGAAGCTCTGGTATCCACTATTCTTTTGCTGCGTTTACTTCGAGTGCTTCCATGGATCCTTCAGACTTCAACATGGAAAACTCAAGTGAAACAGAAAATCAAGATCCAAACACAAACCACAACCATACACATACCTCGAAGGAAAATCAGATCCAATCGTCTGATTTCCTGAATAATCCGCGAAATCCTCTCTATCTTCATCCTAAAGAAAATCCATCCACCATACTTGTTTTACTGCTTTTGCATGGTTCAAATTATCATTCCTGGTCACGAGCTATGCAGATGGCTCTTAGTTCAAAGAATAAACTATGTTTTGTATACGGATCTATGAAGATTCTTTCAAGATCTGATGAAAACTATTCAGATTGGCAGCGATGCAATAACACAGTCCTAGGCTGGATTCAAAGATCGGTGGATGACTCTATTGCACAATCGATTTTGTGGATCGACTATGCAGAAGATGCTTGGAATGATCTCAAGGATCGATTTTCTCAGGCTGACATCTTTCAGATATCGGATCTGCAAGACGACATTTGCAGATTAGAGCAAGGAAACAGAACAGTTGCTCAATATTTCACAGAATTGAAGATCCTTTAGGATGAGTTTGACAACCTGATTCCACTTCCAAGATGCACATGTCAGGTACAATGTTCTTGTGGTGGATATAGTAGCATGCGCAAGATCAGAGATAGAGATCGAGTGATTAGATTTCTTAAGGGATTAAATGATCAATATGAGCATGTTAGTTCTCAAATCATGCTCATTGATCCACTTCCTGTTGTTAACAAGGCCTTTTCCATGATTGTACAACAAGAGAGAAAATTAGGTAGTCAAACTCATACTGATGTAACAGTCACATCTCGTGCCTTCTCTTATGATTCTGCATCCAAGAATAATATCAACACAGCTAAGGGAAAGACTTCTTTCACTAAAGGAGGTACCAACACCAGAGAGAAAGGGAAATATTGCACTCATTGCAAAATGACAAACCACACAATTGAGAATTGTTACTTCAAACATGGTTTTCCCCCTGGCTACAGGACAAAGAGAAGCACTAATCAAGTTGTTACATCAGACAATAACATCCAGCTAGCACCTGGTACACCTTTTACTGTTGAGCAGCATCAGCAATTGCTTCAATTGTTGCATTCTAATACAACATCCTTGCACCATTCGACCAATTTGGTTCAAGCTTCTGCTATGACAGCAGAAAAGCCAAACTCAGGAGGTATATCATTTCATGACTGGATATTGGATACAGGTGCTACTGACCATATATGCTTTCAACATTCTGCTTTTACATCCTTACATGAAATATTGCCTATCTCTATTAGCTTGCCGAATGGACATCAAATTACAGCTAAGTACAGTGGAATGGTTGATGTGACTGATAAGCTTAGATTGAACAATGTGTTATATGTTCCTGAATTTACAGTGAATTTTCTTTCAGTTCCTAAGCTTCTTCAAACTTCACCATGTTTTATCACCTTTTCTGATTCCACCTGTCTTATTGTACAGAAACATACCAAGGACATGATTGGTTCAGCTGAACTTAGAAGAGGACTCTACATGTTAATCATCCCAAAGACCAGCAGCTCACTTCCTATTCTGCAATCCCATACAGTTTTTAATAACAGTTCACTCAATTGTAATTTTCCAGTTTCAGATACAATTTTGAGTAATGACCATGTACTTTGGCATTATAGACTTGGCCATGTGTCTCATACAGTCTTACAAACATTGTCCAATCAATATACTTTCATTCCAAATAAACATGTCTCTCCCTGTGATATTTGTCAATTTTCTAAGCAACACAGATTGCCATTTTCGATTAGTACATCTAAATCTACCAAATTTCTTGAACTTTTGCATGCTGATATTTGGGGTCCTTATGCCACTCGATCTTTACATGGTCATAGATATTTTCTTACCCTTGTTGATGACTTCACACGGTATACATGGGTCATTCTCATGAAATGTAAATCAGAAACTGCATATCATTTAGAAGGGTTCATTACTTATATGGAAAATCAGTTTCAATCCACTTTAAAGATCCTTAGAACTGATAATGGTCCTGAGTTCAATATGAACTCATTTTTTCATACAAAAGGTATCCTCCATCAGAGATCTTGTATGGAAACACCCCAACAAAATGGGATTGTCGAAAGGAAACACAAACATATCTTAAATGTAGCTAGATCACTCACTTTTCAAGCAAATATCCCTCCCAAGTTATGGTGTTATGCTGTCACTCACTCTGTTCACCTTATCAATAGAGTTCCTACTCCTTTACTTCATAACATCTCACCTTATGAAAAGCTCTTTGGGACAGCACCTGACCTTCATGACTTAAAAGTTTTTTGTTGTCTTTCCTATGCATCTACAATTCTTTCACATAGATCAAAATTTTCCACAAGGGCACGCAAATGTGTTTTTCTTGGTCATAAACCAGGCATGAAAGGTTATGTTTTGTATGATCTTATAGCTGGATCCATTTTCATTTCCAGACATGTACAATTTTTTGAACATTGTTTTCCTCTTCTTTATACTTCCTCACCAAACCACAATGCTGTTCAGCCTTATCCTACTCCTGCTTTACCTGATCTTGATATTTCTCCCACTACCTCATCCCAATGTAACATACCTAACCTCATTTCAGCCTCCATACCAAAACCAGTACAAGAAATTTCTCAGTCTCCTATACATGCCTCACCTGTTGATGTGGCAGTCCCAGAACCTATCCATATCCCAAATTCCCAGTCCTCTCCTAACCTTGATCATCATCCTCGCAAGTCCACTAGATCCAAACAGCCACCAAAGTATTTGGATGATTATCATTGGAGTCTCTCTACTGCCACAGCTGGCCCTTCATCTTCAGGTAAGCATTCTGTTATGCATCCCTTATCCAAAGTTTATGCTTTTGACAATTGTTCATCCCAGTACAAACATTACTGCCTTACCTTAAGCTCTTTGGTTGAGCCTACATCATACACAAGCTTCACAACATGCCTACTGGATTGATGCTATGCAGCAAGAGCTTCTTGCCTTAGACATCAATCATACCTGGTCCTTAATTGATTTGCCAGATGGTGTTAAACCCATTGGATGCAAATGGGTATACAAGATCAAAATGAAGGCTGATGGGTCTATTGAAAGGTACAAGGCAAGGTTGGTTGCCAAAGGATATAACCAAATGGAAGGGATTGATTATTTTGATACCTTCTCACCAGTAGCTAAGTTGACTACAGTTCGAGTGCTTCTTTCTATTGCTGCAGCTCGTTCTTGGGATCTTGTGCAATTGGATGTTAATAATGCATTCCTTCATGGTGAGCTCCATGAGGATGTATACATGTTGCCTCCTCCAGGTTTGATCAATGTTGTTTCTGGTCAGGTTTGCAAGTTACACAAGTCAATTTATGGCTTGAAGCAAGCTAGTAGGCAATGGTATGCAAGGTTATCTTCATTTCTTGTTTCTCTGAACTACAAACAATCCACTGCTGATTATTCCTTATTCATTAGCAAGAATTGTTCATCCTTTACAGCAATTCTTGTTTATGTTGATGATATAGTCATCACTGGTAACAGTCCTTCAGAAATTACAAGAATTAAACAATTACTTGATGATGAGTTTCGGATCAAAGATTTGGGTTCTCTCAAGTTTTTCTTGGGACTTGAGGTCAGTCGTTCAGATGCAGAACTGGTTCTCAATCAGAGAAAGTACACATTGGATCTTCTACAAGATGCTGGTCTCTTAGCTTCCAAACCGGTCAGCACTCCAATGGATCCCTCTATGAAGTTGCAACGGGTTCAAGGGGAAGTTTACTCTGATCCTGCCTCCTATCGTCGTCTCATTGTTCGACTGTTATACCTCACAACCACACGACCAGATATCACCTTGGCAGTTCAACAACTCTCTCAGTTTGTGGCCAATCCCATGACTATTCATCATCAAGCAGCCACTCGGGTCTTAAGATATCTTAAAGGCTCTCCAGCAAAGGGTTTATTCTATCCCAGAACCAATGACCTTCACCTATCAGGTTTTGCAGATGCTGATTGGGGAGCTTGTCTTGATACCCGAAAATCTATCACTGGTCAATGTATTTTCCTTGGTCCTGCACTCATCTCCTGGCGTTCTAAAAAGCAGACGACAGTGTCACGATCCTCCACTGAAGCTGAGTATCGAGCATTAGCTTCCATCACCTGTGAAATCCAATGGCTCCATTTTCTTCTCACTGATCTTTAAGTCCCTGTTTCTTCTGTTCCTACTTCACTTTATTGTGATAACAAATCGGCTATCTACTTAGCCAACAATCCAGCTTTCCATGAGAGGTCTAAACATATTGAGCTTGATTGTCATATCATTCGTGAGAAGCTTAATCTTGGCATTCTCAAGCTCTTTCCAGTTTCTTCCCACAACCAGTTAGCTGATGTGTTCACCAAACCTTTGCATTCAGGGCCATTTCTTTCTATTATTTCCAAGCTTGGTCTTTTGGACATCCATAGTCCAGCTTGCGGGAGGGTGTAATCATATATAATTGATGATGTGGCACTAACTAATTGTATTAGTTAGTTGCATTAAATGTGTTTTGTTAAGTTTGTTATTCGGTTAATGAGTTGTATAAATACTCATCCAAGTGTTAAACTGGTTCACAAGTTTATTCAATGAATACATGCTTTCTTTTCTGTTTTCCTCTTTCTGAGATGCGCTTCATCTTCTTCTGCATTATCTTCAGTAATCAACTAATATGAACGGAACACGTATCACTTTTTCAGCGGCTGGACATGTCATCCAAAGTCGTTGAGGTAATCAGCTTTTTTGGTTTTCAAGGAAGTGAAACATGTCCCGTCTATAGTAGCTGAGCTAACGTTGCAGTTTGAAAAAAAAATTTAACTCCTTAACATTTAGATATATTATATTAAAAAAAGAGAGCACTATGACCAATATCCCATTATCACATGTTAAAATTAATAAAAAGTAATCCACCTAATATTGTTTATCGTATAGCTGTGGCTATTACGGGGGAACTGGAAATATGCTCGATAATCGAGATGCATATGTGAGCTACGATGCTTCCACTACCGGAGTTTTGAATTTTGATTAACATTGAGGCATAGACAGAGCCGGGGATTCAATCTAGCTGAATATAACAACGGATCAAATTTCTCTGTTTGTTGGAATACGCAGTTCAGAAAGCTCTACTACCTGGTTGTTGTAATTTAAACAATTAAAAGGACTTCTTAAAAAATAAAAAAGAATTGAGGTGAAAATTAGAATCTAATACTTTCGATTGGTAATTTTCGTTGCGATATAGTATTTTGTAATAGATTTATGTTTCGGGGCGTTTGATTGAGGAAATGTTTTTTGAATATTAGGGAAATGTAATTGGTAGGAAAATAGTTGGAAATTGAGTTTGGTAAAAAAATGTAAAAAAAGTTGTTTGGTTAGAAAAAAATTTACTGGATCAATTAAGTAAGATTTATAAAGTCTATGTTTGGTTTGAGGTAAAATATAGACGGAGAAACAACTTCAAATTACAAATATAACCCCATAAAAAAAGTGAAACCTTGGCACTTTAGATGAGGGTATTTAAGTCTACTAGTAGGTTGCTCTTTTGCTATTTAGCTAGCTAAATGTAAAATATCACTCTGAAGTTGTCTTTCTAAATAGTAACTTTGCCTTACTTTCTATGAACAAATAAGGAATGTTATGCAAATAGAATACCTAGAAAAATTTTGTAAAACCATCTACCAAACATTACTTTCTTACTTTGCCAATTTGATTTGCATAGGTAAGTTTTAAGAAATCTTTAACCAAACACCACCTTAAAATAAGATTAATTGTATGGCGATAACCGTAATCTATTTAATTGCATGAACATGATAATCACCTTGTTAATGACTGTTGAGTCATTTTCTTCATATTTATTTGCTACTAGAAGAGGCTAGAGCTCGCCCGCGTGTGTGCATCAATGGAATATGAATATTCTATTTTTCTTTTAAGCGCGTGGAAAGAGCGTATACAATTTATTTAATCATTTCCCAATCTCACATGCTAGAAGATTTTAAGTTTTCGTTCGTTATTTCTGATCACATGTCCCATCTTAAATAGTAAATCAACATGATTAATTAATGGGCCAAGTCGAGTCACCAACATCTAAGCAAAAAAATACAAATTCTTATCCTTTTATAATTGAATGAATGGCCCAAAAAATTACAATATTTGCAGACAACTGTGCAACGATATTTACTCATGACAGTTGATAAATTCTTATCAGAATCTTAATCATTTTGGTAAAAAATTGTGACCACTACTAAATTAGCAGAGGGCTTGGTCCTGTAAAAATTGACCAACCCGAACCCGTATTTGAATCCCGGACTCTCATAGTTTCGGATATAATAAAATTATCCATAACCCTGAGATATGCTTGTGTACTATTACTTAGAAATTCCACAAGAACGAGTCCTGAATTATCAACCCATCCATGTTCTCTTCTCCATAATCAAAACTTGGCATCTCGGGCACATAGAAATCGCCGCCAAAATCATCAAAACCCGGAAACACAGAGTAGTCGGGTTCAAAATTATCCGACCCGAATATAGAAAACAAATCCAGAAACGACGTGATGTCACTTTCCGTCTGTACAGTCACCTCAGAAAGAGGAGGAGACGGCGACTCCATAGGCAACAACAGCAACGAATTAGAAGAATAAGATTCCACCGGAGTGGTAACGGGTTGACCCGAATACTCCTTCGGGAGCTCCGAATTAGCGAAACGGGCGGCAGCGGCCTGAATTTGAGAGGGGGTCATGGACCTTCCGCCGGCGATCTCAGGCGGGTCACCGGGGAAATTAAACTTAGCACGGTTGCCACGTAAGCAAAACGTGGCAGCGTCGAAGGCACGCGCTGCCTTCTCTGCGGTGTCATAGGAACCCAACCAAATCCTCTGGCGGCTGTTGGGTAGTCTGATTTCGGATACCCATTTGCCCCAATTCCTCTTCCTTACTCCTTTGTACTTAGAATCGCTTCTCTCTGACGCTGTTTTTTCCACGCTCGGCTTCACCATTCTCTTTTATTTTTTTGTTTCCCCCACACACACACTTACACTCACTTTGAATGTACGAGAATGTTTTACAGTTTGTGTTCTTTTTCTTTCTTTCTTTGTCGTTAGAATCGAAAGCTTTTTCAGTTTCACGCTGTCTTGTCTGCGTTTGCATGTTATAATTTGCGGCTCTATATATATATTTAAGCCGTGTGAGGTGATGCGAGTGAAGGAGTTTGACTCACTTAATGGTCAACGCTTCCAAAGACGTGTCTATGGAAAAAGTGTATTTTGATTTGTACACGTGGATGATGACGAGAACAGTGATGGTGTTTTTTACGCGGTGTAGTGACAAGAGTAAACGACATAGTTGGACCACGTTTGTCGTTTAATCCACGTGATTGCGTGTACATTCTCCGAAAGAATGTATGCAGTTCTTTCTTTGGAAAATGATTAAAAAAATGGATAAGTTTGAAAATCAGGTAAGATGCCACAACACTCACTTGTGGCTTATTGACGCAGCATTTGTATTAAATTACATACTTGCGGCTAGATTAACAGCATGCCTATTTAATAACAGTTTACCGTGGAATGTTGTACTTTGAAATTTGAAGTGAAAAATGGGATGGAAATAAAAGTATATTGCACTCCCCAGTTTCACCTCGATCGGAATTGTACAAGGGAAACCTCCATTTTTTTTCTCTCCCTTTTTTGATTAATATTGGAAGACAAACTTGATCATTGTGAGAATGGAAGTAAAATAACTATACTCTCTTAACAAATAGCATACTTAACTATCTTCTTAATTATTTAAGTAAAGAGTATTGAATTCTTAATATATAAAAAAAATGTCATTACTTACACTTTTTAGAGTTTCTTGATAATTGCTTCTATATATAACGAGACAAATTTCACTTCCCTTTAATATTTGCGTCAAACTATCTTATATTCACAAGAGTAAAACAAAAGTTTCACTTTCCTTGCATCTAAGCTTTTTTTTTTAAGGTGGATTTCCCTCTAAGCTTTTGTTACTAAAAAAATCATATTAAAATTCTCACTTGGTTAGAGAGTAGCTTAATTTAAACATAAAAATAGATACCAAACTTATGAAAACTTGATGTTTCTTTTCTATTTTGTCGTGAATTGAAATCATTACTGAAAACCTAAAAATTCCTCCGTTTTTATGTGAGTAAAGTATTGGGGTGGTTCTTAAATGATTTAATGATTTTCCTTTTTCGCTTAGTTCCTCTCATATGCATTTAATCTTAATTGGTTCCTCATAGTCAATTTTTCCATATATGTTGGTTCCTTAAATTTAGTTTTCTTTTATTTTGGAATCTCATGAACATAAACTGGTCACTAATTCAATTACCTACCAAGCGAGCAAAAGAAGCTCCCAAATGAATGTAAATATAGATGTGAGGAGAACAAAATGAAAAAAAAGTACATATGTTAGCGACCAAAATAAAAATAAAAGCTCCCAATTTTTTTTTCTCCAAAAAAAAAAATAGAAAAAAATAAACTCAATGGACAAAAGTGAAAGCTAGTATATATATTAACGGGTTTTTAATAACTTGAAATGAAATTTTAAAATAGATTTGTAGATCAATATAAGCATCGTTTAACTTGCTCTGTACAAATAGATTTGGTCCATGTGAATTGATATAGAAATGTTAGGATACAAACAAAACACACAGATGAGAAAAAAAATTCAGTAATCTTGAGAGTTTTTGAATTAGAACATTTGTAATGGAAAGATACACCCTTGAAATAGGTAATTATATGAAAATAAAAAATATAAAGCATGTATATAAAGATAACAAATAAGCTGCAGCAATTCTAACTGAACTTTACTAATTGCCCAGACAAAGGAGCGCATTGATTGTCAGAGGTTGATTCAGTGATATGTGACCGAACTCTAAACCACAAGAGGGTGTCCCATACGATATATATCCCATTGATCCCGTTAAGTTGCGGCCTTAACCTGGGCTAAATTTTAATAAATTATATTTATTATATATAATTATACAATTAATTATAATTTGACCCGAATTAAAATTATAATTTGGCCCGGCTACATTTGTAATTTGGCACTATGTAAAACTTAAAATATTTTTGATGAAAGATTTGAGTAAGTTGTATTAAATTATGTGTCTGTTGGAAGAAGGAGCTATTGTTATTTGTTATAATCTGTATAAGTTAGTTTGAATATGTATTTGTTATTCTCTATCTGTAAGTTAGTTTAGATATGTATTCTGTATTTGTTAGCTGCTGTTAGCTATAGTTTCTATCAGTTAGTTTAGTGTAACAACATGATAAGATTGAGTCCAGTCGAATGTAACAAACATGTCTATTTAAGAGACATTCACTCTGTAAAGCAAGGCAAAAAATAGAATGCTATTCAAGATTACAATTTATTATGATGTCAGAGCCTTTCTTACTACACATTTCTGCAACGTAAACTCTGAAGAAAGAGTGCGAAAGCTAGCCCAACTCGAGATGGCGAATGAAGGAACCAGCAACTTGAAGCCATCAGACTCAGGATCACCATTTTACTTGGGTGGTTCAGACAGCCCAGGGATCATACTGACGACTGTGGTGTTGAGAGGAGAAGTCAATTATGAAAATTGGGCGAAGCTCATGAAAAACGCACTCAAAGCGAAAAACAAATTAGGTTTTGTGACGGGAACGGTAAAGAAACCGAGTAAGACAGATGGAGTGGAATGGCATGCCTGGGAGATGTGCAATTCAATGATTAATGGGTGGATATATAACATCATTGATCCAAAGTTGCAGCCTTTTATATGATGAAGTAAACGATCTCTGGGATGACTTGAAGGAAAGGTTCGCAGTGGAAAATTTTTCACGACAATATCAGCTCAAGGCTAGCTTAGCCAATATTAGACAACAAGGAAGCAGCGTTAGCGAGTACTATATGGAGTTGAGAGGTGTGTGAGATGAAATCGAGGGAAGCAAATCCTACAAAACATGTGCATGTGGAGAAGATTGCACTTATGCAAAGGAGATTGAGGAAGAAAGGGAGCATGATCGCATATATAAATTCCTTATGGGCCTTGATGAAGCAGCCTATGGGAATTTACGTTCTCAAATTCTAAATCACTCGCCGCTCCCATCGATGAACAAGGTGTATGTTATGATCACACAGGAAGAGACCCATCGTTCAATCGCGCGCACTCAGGTTGATAAGACAGAAGCTATTGGATATGCAACTCGGACAGAAGCACCGCAGCAGAAGAACACATTTACTGAACGTCCTCCATGTGTGCATTGTGGAAAGACCAACCATGAAGCTTCACGTTGTTGGCAAGCATTTGGGTATCGTGATCGTGGTGAACACTATCCTGGTCATGGTAATGGCAGGGAAAGAGGACGAGGACGCTTTGGTGGCGGAAGAAACAACTCGCAAAGAGGTTCCCATGCAACTCAGTACGTTGCAAATGCAGCTCAAACAGAAGAACCACAGGAGCAAGCTAATGTGTTTTATGTTTTGGCACCAGAAGTAGTGACACCCCTGTTGTCTTTGGTGGACAAGCCTAAACCATCAAATGACAAATTAATTGGTAAAAATACTGATCATAATTGGCTTATAGATAGCGGCGCGTCTAGACACATGATAGGGGTACTTGATTTACTCCAAAATGTTACAAATATTGAACCTTTGGCAGTTGGGTTACCAAATGGAGCAGTGACGTATGCTGAGAAACAAGGATCAATTTCTCTCAGTCACAATTTTTTATTATCCGATGTTTTATTTGTGCTTAAATTATAATGCAATTTAATTTTTGTGTCTCAATTGCTGCACCAGCGAAATGGAAATGTAACATTTACTGATGCTAGTTGCATTTGGCAAGACCACAAGCTAAGGATGGAGATTGGATTGGGTGATTACAAAGAGGGTGTGTATGTGTTTCGACCGAACCAAGATTCATCATTGGCAGCTCGTTCCTGTGAAACAATGGAGTTATGGCACAAACAGTTGGGACATGCATCACCATAAGCAATATCTATGATTCCTTTTTCCTGTAGTTTTCGAGTTGGTAGTAAAGAAAATAAAGCTTGCGATGTGTGGTATCGCGCTAAACAAACTCGTTCTATGTTTCCTCTTAGTGACAGTCGAAGTAATAATATATTTGAACTTCTCCATTGTGATACATGGGGGCCTTATCATACGAGCTCTTCATCTGGTGCACACTATTTTCTAACTATTATTGATGACTATAGTCGAGGGGTTTGGGTTCGTCTGATGAGTTCAAAGAGTGAAACTTTTGACTGCTTGGGAAAATTTCTTGTCATGGTACAAACTAAATTTCTTGGCGAGTTTATGACTTGGAAAGAGAAGAATTTTTTGTCTCACGAGACGTTTGCTTCCATGAAACAGAATTTTCGTTTGCTGCAGAGAACATGGTTGCTGCTGATCCAAATCTTGCTAGCATATCATTGCCTCAATTCATGTCTTCAGACTCCATAATGTTACCACATTCCAGCGACGCTGACAACGAAGACCAGCTTCCTCTACACAACAATGCAACAAACGAAGTGGAGATGGATGATAGGGGGAGAACTCATTCTGAGGAACTTGCACCTGTTATACCAGTAGTGGAAGATGATAATGTCCCACTGCAGATGCATGAGTCTACTCTGAATGCACATCAACGAGTGCCTCGCATACGCAAACCTCCATCTTATTTGAGTAATTACAAATGCAACTTAGCTAAAACACATACGCAAGTCTCTCATATCACTCCATCTGATTCCTCCTCAGGTAAGTGGTATCCAATTGCTAATTATGTAACCTCTAATAAGTTTTCTCAAAATCATCAAGTCTTTGTTGCAGCCATAGATGCAGGTAGAGCCGGCAAAACGGGCTCAGCTCGGCGGGCCAACCCGCCCAACCTGCTAAACGGGGCGGGGTAGGCTCATTTTTTGGCGGGTCGATGGCGGGCTAAAGCGGGTCAGTGTAAAATAGGCTCGGGCTGGCGGGCCAACCCGCCCAACCCGCCAAACGGGGCGGGGCGGGCTGGCTCATTTTTTGGCAGGTTGATGGCGGGGTGGGCCGGGCCGCCCACTTTGCCACCTCTAAATGCAG